TACTTGATGTCAATTCTCAGAAAAAGAAAATCTGCAAGTTCATTGTCCTGTTCCTGAAGTTAGCATGAGTTATTGAATAATACTAATTGGCAATGATTGTATTCTATAATAGAGACACTTTTTCCCTCTCATTTATGGAGATCAGGCCTTGCATGTTATATAATTTGTATAGAAGAAGGTACATCCAAAAGACTGATTCTTCATCACAGAGTCTGTGTCATGAGCATTCGTGGTTTTCCCCCTACTGTTTCTAGTCAATACCATGTGTCAGTGTTCTCCCTGTGGTCTTCCATGGGTATTTCAGTGGATATTCTCTCTTCTTCACACTCCTAGGGTTCTGACCCCACTGCGTTCTCTGTGCTTACCCAAGCCATCACAGGACAAGTGGGTTTTATGGATGTTGAATTCTGCACCACTTGTGGAGAAAAAGGAGCCAGTAAAAGGTGCTCAGTTTGCAAAATGGTAAGAGCGAAATTCTTCTAAACCCATTGATGTGCAGGGAAGATTGCTCCAAGCTGACACCTGAATTCCAGCATCACATAAGTGTAGTAGTTGAAATTAGTCTTATAATAAATTCTAGTAAGTAAACATATTAAACAGCAGCTCAGCAAGAGAACTTCCTGTGTGCCCCAGTTTCTACTACCACATAGAAAAAGAGAGATGAAAGGATAAAGGAAAGAAATTAGATCAGAGAGCACCAGTACATGGGTTGGTGTGGCTAGGAAAAGCCAGACCGGGACAGTTCACAAGTGACATTTCATGTTGACTTCTCAGTCTTCATTCATCCCCTCTGTTAAAACCAGCGCTTTTTAACTGCCAACAAACGGCAGTTCTTAAGAACTCTACTTTCCTGTTTTCTAGAGTTATCTCTATAAAGTACATGTCTGATTATGTTCTTCTCTCATCCTGACCCAGTACACATGAACATGCCTGGTATACTCACTAAATCCCGCAGGTGACATTAATCTGTTGATTTCAAGATTGAAACTTTTCAACCGATTTTGAGACATCAGCATCTACCAGATGCTTCTCTAGATTTAGCTGCTTAATTTACTTCCTAAAGCCTCTTTCCTCCTGTGTGAAATAGGACTCAGAGCCAGTTCACATAGAAAAGCCCTCCGAAAGCAAAGTTTAAGTTCATAGTCACACTTCTCGTGGCAGGCTGCCTTCAGCTGGGACAGTCTGGAACCTGAACATGTCCTCAGGACTGTGCTGGAAGAAGAAGTAGACAACAAGAAATGCAAAGGGATTCTTTGGAGCTTTTCAGTTTTGTAAATGGAGGCAACTCATTCATTTTCCAGTCACCCGGACCCAAATACTCACACAGAAACTATATTAATTACAACACTGTTTGGCCAATGGCTTAGGCATATTGCTATCTAGCTCTTACATCTTAAATGAACCCATTTCTATTAATGTATATATCACCACGAGGCTGTGGCATATGGGTTAGGTTCTGGCATCTGTCTCCTTTGGCAGCTACATGATGTCTCCTTCACTCTGTCTACTCTCTATAAATCTCTGTTTAGATTTCCCTCCTAGCTTTACTCTGTTAAGCCATTGGCCAAAACAGTTTTATTCATCAACCAATAAAGGCAGCACATATACAAAAGGATATCCCACACCATCTCCTGTTTTCTTTCTAATTAGAAAGGAAGGTTTTAACTTTAACATAGTAAAATTACATACAACAAAACAGGTATCAATCAAGAATTATAGTTTCAATATTTGTGAATCTAAAGTTTCATATCTAATTTATCTTTTATCATAACTAAGGAAAAATATACTATAACTATCTGTCTTCAACTCCATTGAAGACTTTAGAGGAATATAATATTACCGAAGTTAGCAGAAAGTGCATTGTAAGCCTCTTCCAAAACTCTAGAATCGACAGAGACATCTTGCTGCCTAGACAGTCACCCAAAGTTCTTCTGTCACATTGAGGCATCCATCTTCAGCCTACAGGCCCATAGTGTCCAGCAGACTTTCCCATGAAGCAGGAAATTTGAAAGACTGTTTTGCCTGTATTGTAGCCTTTTAGACCAATACACAGTTGTATTATGTACAACCAGATATCATATCATAGTTTTTTATGTACGGGAAACAGGATTTTTATAGAATATTTCTTGGCTTGATGTTTGTTGAGGAACCATGCGATTCCAAGTCTTAAAATGAAAACCAACTTGTAATGGATTTCAGGTAATATATTGTGACCAGACCTGCCAGAAAACACACTGGTTCGCACATAAGAAGATGTGTAAGAGTCTGAAAGACGTTTATGAGAAGCAACAGTCCGAAGCTGCCAAGCATAAGAGGCAGGAGGAAAAGAGTATGTACCACTCCAGAGCTTGTGCTGTCCCTTCGCGAGGGACAGGAAGGCTCGGTGCCACTGACTCTGCATGCAGAGGAACTGTCCCTCCTTTGGGCGTGGCCAGCTTTGGGACACTGCATGGAACACAGTCACCTGAGACAACATGACATTCCAATGATGTGGTTATACCACGTTTGACTGCCCTGGAGTGGTCTTCACGGGTCACTCGTGGAGGGCAACCAGACACACGACATTCTAACGATGTGGTTACACGTTTGACTGCTCTGGAGTGGCGGGAGTCTTCATGGGTCACTCGTGGAGGGTTTTTGGGTTATTGAATAGGCCTTGAATGTCCCCTGATGGCTACCACAATACTTTAAAGTTAGAAGCCTTTTACACTTTTAATTACAGTTCATTATGAATGAAATTATAGTTTATTTGTAAATTATAACCAAATCTTAGATCTGCTGTGCACACTCCACTCTGCGAGCATGAGAGCAATGTATTATCCGTTTTCCCTTCTTCTCATAAAGATGAGGCACTGCTTTTGCTCCGTAGCTCTGGCTTGCTTCTACAGTGACTTTCATATTCCAGGGACTTTCCCCATCTTGGGAATATATCCTGCCTTCTTGGAAGTGTGTATAGCTGGAAAGCATTGGCTCTGTACAATCATCTCACTGTCCTTAGCCACTTTCATCTCAACTCATAAAATGTGGCTCTTCTATCATTTGGTGTAATTGAATGGTTTGCACACACAAAGTTTTTTTTGTTTGTTTGTTTGGTTTTTTTTTTGTTTTTTTTTCGAGGAGACATGGTTTCTCTTTGGAGCCTGACCTGGAAATAGCTTTTGTAGACCAGGCTGGCCTTGAACTCACAGAGATCTGCCTGCCTCTGCATTCCAAGTGTTGGGTTTAAAGGCCTGCGCCCCCATTGCCTGGCACAGAGTTATTTTTTTAAAATGAAACATTTGCCACTAAGTTTTCCTATTTTGGACTATCTTCCTATATTGCCTTCTTTGCTGTAGATCAATCTTTTTTTTTTTTTTTTAAATTTTTCGAGATAGGATTTCTCTGTGTAACCGTGGGCTATTGTGGAACTTGTTCTGTCGACCAGTTTGGCCTTGAACTCACAGAGATCCACCAGTCTCTGCTGGGATTAAAGGCTTGCACTACAACTCAGCAGACTAAATATTTTTAATCCAGAAGATGGGTAGGCTTTTATCAATAAAAATTAGCTAAGTCTGTTACCTTCTCAAGGGCATCAAGTTCATTAAATGCAGATTTTGTCAGCCCCAAACAATTTCGATGCAGAGTTCTGGCCTTAGAGTCACAGGCTTCTGTGAAGCTTGGAGTAAGTACCCAACCCCTCTTCTCAGGGTCACTACTGAGAGGGACAATAGTGACAATTTGAATAAAGTGAGTGATAGTCTGTCCCGTGGTAGAGACTGTGATTAATACTGTAACATCACCAGACTGTCTGGCACACAATAGCAACAATACACATTTTTCGTTTTCTTAGAGGGAAAGCTCGATGCCAACTCTAACCATGTTACTGAAGATCAGCCAGAGGCTGGAGCGAGCATCTCCCAGGAAAATTCCACTCCTGACGATTCTGCGGAAGGAGCGAGAGAACCTGGAGAAGAAGCTGGACTGGCCCACGCACAGGATGCTCCTGCAGGGCCCCAACTGTCGGAGGAGTAAGTGCAGTCGACAGTGGCCAGGGGGCTGTCTTCATCCCAGCAGATTCCTGCGGAACTCATATGAATGTGTCTTCATTGGCTGTGACGCTGCACGGCTCAGTGCCAGGACTACGCATCCCTAAAATAGAAGCTTTCAAGCAAAGCTGCCTCCCATTTTTGAATTCATGCTCATTTCTGTTCTATAAATGAACAGGCATTTCTACGGAAATTATTTTCTTTTAAAATACACACACACACAAAAACATGTCCGTTCCTCTTCTGGCTCTCCAGTGATTGTTCGCAAAGGAAAACAAATCCCCTTAAAGGAGAAATCTGGGTTCTAGAAAACAAGTTAAAAAAACAGGGACGATGTGAAAGAAAAGTGTTTAGGGGGAGAGAAATCGCGGGCACAGAAGCGGGATGTCAGAAAAAGGAAAACTTACCTGTGAATGAAGTGTATCTGAGTAGATTTTATTGTCCTGAAGTTGGACGCACAGAGCTGTAATGAGGAACACACTGTTCAACGAGCTTCACCGTAATGCAGCCTGCTGTAGTTCAGACAGAAAATACCAAGAGCGCTGTGAACCCCATGTTCTCTGCAGCAATAATCTCTATAGGATTTGAGCATTCAGAAGGGTGTGTTAGCACTGGGTAGTCACTGTACACACGCTTCCTGTAAAACCACACTCTTATCCGAAAGGCCAACCTTTATCTTCCTGTCAACTCCCATGAGCCTCATCCTACCCACAGACTGTGACGTATAGCTGTCATTTTAAAGGTGTCCTGTTGTGTATTTTAATGTATGTGGCATGTAAGCAAGGCTGGAGTGTCGTGTCTGATGAAGGTGCTCCCTTTCAGTCTCCCGTTGGTTTAAAATAAATCTACCCACATACACGCTTCCTCTTGTTTCAGAATTTGTGCCAAGGGGCCGAATGTTAGAGAAGCTAGCAAATCTGAAGGAATGCTCAGTCAGCATCAGAAAAACCTGTAGTTGGCATTTTCTCTGGGCCACCAACCAGCTCCCAAATAAAGACATGGAGACTTATTATTAATTAGGAATGCTCAGCCTTAGCTTTGACTTATTTCTAGCCAGTTTTTCTTAAACTCAAATCAACCCATTTCTATTCATCTGAGTGCTGTCCTGAGACTCATTTACCTCACCTGTATACCATCCATCCTGCTTTCCTGCTTCCTCTGTAGTTGGCTGGCTGGTCCCTGGCTGACTGGCTGGCTCTCTTGCTCTGTGCCCACCAGCCCTGCCGAGCTCTCCTCTGCCCAAATACTGGCAAGGAAACAAGGCCTTCTAAACACTACAGGACCAGTGCACTTAAAAAAATAAAACAAAACAAAACCCTTTTTCTTCAACCAAGTGAGGCATGCTTCAATTTGTCAGTTTAAGAACTAAAGTGAATTTACCATTCTTTTCTGTCACTGTTACAAGGGTTTATGCGATGCATTTTTATTACAGTTATACCACAGTCTATCCTTACAAAGGGTTACACCACACATTCTGTTGCTGGTACAGCCCTTTTTATTTTATCCTATGTTTCTGTGCTTAATCTAGAGGTTGCAATATCTTGTCCGTCACTTGCTAGAGTAATTTTTAAAGTACTGCGTATACCACTTATAGGTCTCCTTAAGCCCAGTCCTGACTGCACCATTTTCACCAAAATGGATTCTTCACGTGCAACCCCCCGCCCCTGCATACTGCCTATATTGTTACTTGGAGGTTTGGCTGGGACCCAGCTCCTGATGAGCAGCTTCTGTGAGTTCCTTAGGTCTTCAGTGTGAGGACGGCACAATAGAATACCCAGAACTGTTTGAAGAGCAGAGTACTGGGTCTCTGCCGTGTCCCCGTGACCTTGCTAAAGAGCCTGTGGAAACTACTGTGAGCCTTTTCTTGGAGGGTCACGGCGCATGAGCTTCTCCAGAAGACTGGGTGTCCTAACACAGGGACTCCCCCAAAGTCAGTGATCATAAGGGAAAGAGGGAGAGAACACACTGATGCCATCTATCACCTGATGTTGAATACCAAACAACTGTTCCTGCCACGACACCAAGGACCGTCACTGCTCAAATGGTTTCTTCTCCTGGTCCTAGCCGACCTTTTCATCAGGAACCACACCTGAATGTTCAGACTCAGGCCAGGAACATGGGACAAGAACAGGTTCATTATCATAGCGGTCACGTCTTCCCCTCTGTGATGTCAGCCCGTATTTCCATGTGTCCGTATTCTCTGAGCATGAGCAGGATCGGGAGAAATGTCACCACATTTTAAAAGCTGACAGAGCTCTTAAGTCATAGAAGGCAGCAATGGGCTTGAGATGAAGTGTTAATTTTTGTCACTTGGCACCAGGCAATTGGTAAAGGCCATCGAGTTTCTTTATTCCCTAGCACTGGACTTCTGGTGAGGCCAAGCCAACAATCGTTAGCCCACACCCAGAACTGGCCAGTGTCCCAGAGATGTGCAAACAGTGCACGGATAACTGAACTGTGGTGTGGTCACGTGGTGGCTGCTGGACGGCAGTGAAGACGGCAGAGCCCTTGCTATGACAGCAACAGAGCTGCCTCAGAACAGCAAGTGCCAGAAGCCACACCCGACTTTCATTCTTTGTGATTGCATGTATATGGCTCGCTCTTGATTGCATAGTCAAGTTTCACCATGAAACTCACTCCTGAGAGGTCAGGATGGTGGTTTGTGCGGAAGGGTAAACAGCATCTGCTAACACAAAGAGGGGCTTTTAGAGAGTTGGTAATGTGTTATTGCTTGATCAATAGTGCCAGGTACATGACCTTGATTGTCTTAGAGATTCTGTGTTGAGCTTTACACTAAGAGTTTTCTTTATTCATGAGTAACTCAAGTAAACATTTACAATAGGAAGCTTATAGTGCAGGAGTCATTTTTTCCCATCACCGATTGCCCTATTTATAAACATCAGGTGAGTATTGCTCTAAGTCACGGATGTTTTAACATTCTGCGGAGCAGCATGAGGGTCTGGAAAGTTATCTCAGGGATAGTATCATCATCTGGGCTGAGTCCGTCTTTTCCGTCTCGTCATACTCTTCCTCTCGTGTGGGAACCGTGTCCCAGTTCATGGAAGTGACGGCCATCAAAGACCTCTTCATGGATCTTACAAACACAGCGTCTTCTGGGTCACCAAACACAGTCCTACAAAGGTAGCAATTAGATCAAGTGTAAGTAGGTCTGACCAACATGATTCTGTGTGTGACTGTGTGTATTGAGGGTGGTATCCAGGGCCCTAGGCATCTTACAGAAGTACTTTGTCTGTGGAGCACACCTAAAGCCCCGAAGCTGTTATTTAAATGAATAATTGCATATGTCCCCACCAACATCACGGACTTTGCTGCCTTGACTTTCAGGCCAAGTGGGCACAATTTTTATTGTGCACATGGTTCATTTTTAAAGTGGAGTGTCTGGATATATATTTCCAGGATCTGTTATAAAAGTCTCACATAACCATGTTTCCATAGTGGGAAAACTGTCAAATAGCAACCTGGAAATGTTTTTTGGTATCATACATATTAATATTGTAAACATTTTCTTTTGAAGTTACTTCCCCACATATTTTGTAGATGATGAGAACTTTTTTTGAACATTGAACCCTCCCCCCAAAAAAACCAGTCATACATAGAAAAGTAATGAGTTTTAGATCCATTAGTATTCATGAATTTGAAATGTCCTCTGCAGAATTAATGAACTATTTGCTTTAGGAAATGTAAATTCTAGTGAATGTAAAATGTTAATCTATATGATAATTGCTGTTACTGAGCATATTTAGAGGCAAAGCAAACAATCCAAGTTCCTCATTTGCAATAGCTAATAGTTCTCAACAAATTTTAAAATTTTATACATATAATCACCTACTCACTTGAAGTTATAATAATCACATTAAAAGCCTGAACATGTCAGATTGAACACACAGCTGGAACTCACCTGTCAAAGAAAAACAACCATTTTCCCACCTACTGAAATCTATGTTAGAAGATAGGGATAATTTAGAAACGAGACAATTATGAAACAGTCTGACAATAAAAGCAAACATAAAAAAATTTTAAAAGTAGTACTTACTTGTCAACATTATCCCCAAATGCAAAATCTAAAAATAAAATTCTAAATTAGTATTTTTCAAACATTTGGTCAGCACTCAAAAGTAATGAGACACTGTTAGATATCTTTTCAAGTAAACTGACAAAAATATCTAAAATATAACAAAATATATAACTAGTATGAAGTTGAACTTTTCCCTTAGGTAAGGCATTTTGCTTTAGGCTTTGGGGCAGTCTTTAATATAAGACTAATCTACGAACCCTGAAAATAATATTCTGAATCAGCTTAGCTCCCAGGGGAGTCCAGTTAGAATCTTTTATAAACAAGGTTCATAGATGGAAAGAAAGAACCCCTTTTTCTTCTGATGAGTACGAGCTTCTGTAAGAGAATACTCAGGACAAGTATTTAGGGCCATCTCAGCCATTTGGACTCTTGGCATGAACTTCAAAGAAAGAACAAATCCAAGATCACAAGACTCTATGTTCTAAAGCTTTAGCGCTGAAGGGCCAGACCTCAAGCCTGGAGCTCTTGGGGTACCTCCCAGTCTACCATGGCCTTGTTTACTCCTCTCCAGAAGGCCTGGTACCACGCCAAAGACAGAACTTTCCTGCACCTGTCGGGGCACTAAAGCCTTCCGCGTACGTTCTTGCCAGTCCGCAAGAGAGGACACAGCCAAGAGCTTGTGTGACACTGTGCCTTTCACAAGGGGCCGCCCAAGTCTCCTGGATTTTGTCTCCTCAGACTCTTTTCCTCTCTCTCCCCACAGTGCTACTGAGATATAATTGAAAATTAGCAATTATACACATTTGTAGCGTGCTACAAGATGTTTGGGTGTGCACGTGCGCACACACGCAATGTGAAACAGCAGTTACTGTTCACGTCGGGCATCTCACACAGGTACCATTTTCTTTTTGGGTATGTAGATGGTGAGTACGTTTAGGTCCCCCCACCCCCCCTTCTAGCAGATAGTTAGCCACAGTTACATTAGGCCGTCAGAATTTGGTCATCACGAACAGTCGGGACTCTTTGACCCTGACCAGCAAAACTACAAAGGTCTAAGAGTGATCTTCCCATTCAGTAAGACCATAGAGCAATTGAGGAAGACACCCATTATCCTAGTGTCTACACGTGTGTTCACAGGTGTGCGGAGCCTTGCAGTTATGTGCACACCACACACACACACACACACACACACACACACACACCCCACAGGTCTATCATTCCACGTTATAACTTCAGGTTGTTTATTTGTTCATTCTGGGTTTTCAAGACAGGGATCCTCTGTGTCTCCCTGGCTGTCCAGGAACAGCCTGTCCTAGACAAGGCTGACCTTGAACTCACAGATTCACCTGCCTCTGCCTTCTGAGTGCTGGGACTAAAGGTATGCACCACCGCTGCCTGATCCACAGTTTTATGTTGTTAAATACTACGACTGTATCAGGACACAAGCCTATAGTGGGGTAGTTTGTGTTGTGTGAGTGTGTGGTGACGTACAATTCCCCTGTGAAGAGCCATCAGCGAGTTCTTCTGCATTTACTGTTATAAAAAGGCGGCACCAAGAAAAGCCTCGTGTTTTTCTCTCCTGTGTGTTTATAGACTCATGAAGGAGAGTTTGCAGACTGCTTTCTCTGCCAAACGCTGACAGGCACTGCAGTCTTGTCTCCAAGCCAGCTCACCTAGTTCATGGTTTTGTAAAGCACAAGTACTGGGCTTTCATTCTCCAGAGACTTCTTTTTCCTTTAAAGATTTTTTTCTCCTTGTTGGAGGAAAGGGTGTCTACTGTTTTGGTTTGCACTTCTTTGGCCATAAGTGATGATGATACTCATTGCATCCATTTCTTCCTTTCTACAAATGACTTGTTTATGTCATTTGTTGTTTTATCTACTGGAGTTTTGTTTTATTTGGCTTTAATGGTGTGTGTGTGTGTTTGTGTGTGTGTGTTAGGCCTGCGTGTGTGCAGTGGAGATGACATATGTGTGCACGTAGCTACACTTGCCTCGCATGCATGCTGATGGAGGTAGAGTCACACTTCGGGCTCCTCCATCACTCTCCACCCATCTTCAAGACAAGGTTTCTCATGGGAACTGAAACCCACTGTTTCAGCTTGACTGGCTGGGCAGCAAGCCCTTCCGTGCTGTCACTAAGGGCTTCCCGCTGGTCCTGGGAATCCTAACTCACGTCCTCCTGTTTGCCCAGCACTGACCCATCTCCCCAGCCTGTTGTGTGTTTTGTTGTGGTTATTCATTCATTTTTTACAGGATCTTATTCTGCAGCCCAGGCTGACTCAGAACACACGATCCTCCTGTCTCGGCTTCCTGATACCTGAGTCCTGCCCTGCATGACGGTTTTTTTTTTGTTTTGTTTTGTTTTGTTTTTGCTTTGTTTTGTGTCTCTTTTGGTGCTGCAGAGCAAACCGACTTCGGGCATGCCTGGCAAGCACTGAGCCACTGGCATCATCTTTAGCCCTCCTGCTGGGGCAAAATGGAATTGTGAAAGCCGCTAGGGATTGTGAGGATTAATTCCCACCTGTGATATGTCGCAATGCTTTCTCCAACTTTAATTTTGACTCTAGGCTGCATCATAGCTTTTACTTTTGTGTGGCTAAGCCTGTCAGTGTTTCTTCCAGAGCTTTACAGTAACTCTCTCTACCTGGTCCCTGTGCCCTTCGCTATGTGAGAAAAGTAAACCTCTGTTTGGATGTATGTTACCTAAAGTGAACATACTTAAAGAAAACATAACTGAAATCATTTGTAAGAGTTCTAGGTGACACTTTGGATGTGAGTATAACCAAGGCATGAAGAGTGCTAACTTCTGGTTGGTAAAATTACAAATGATCTTCATTTTGCCTTAATATTTTTCCGATATCATAAAAAATGTCTACCCTTCTCTGAGAAAGCTGACTTGTTATGTTGGTAGTAACACTGACAGCTTATCTTTGGTCCTTTTTACCGCACTGGATCCTGGAGAGCGGCTTCATGGTACCCCTCACTTTCACCCTGAAAGAGGTGAAGATGAAAATTGGGCTATTTATTGCATCAACAGGGAAAGTATGGGGTTATAATGCAATACTGGAGATTGATTAGAAGCTACTTCACTGTAAGCAAGGTAAGTTGCCGTTATTATGACAATCAAGTGTTCCTGAAGCTTCCTGACTTTTAATCTCCTTTTTGTCTTACACAGTACCTGAAGGGAGTTTTGATACTCGCTTTTGCCGTATTGTTGATTTGGGGTTCCAAGAAACATCCACTTTTCCTCCGAATGCTATCGATTGAATGATATGAGCTTTCTTATGGTTAAAAATGGTGATCTTGGATCTTCTCTCCTTTTCTGTAACTTCTGAGAAAGACAAAAAAGACCGTTTGTAGAATTAACACAGGCATACAGAGTGATTACCAAAGCAAACTGAGCAAGGAGGCTGCCTGAGTAGCCAAATCAGTGAGCTGTGGTGCAGGAGAGACCCTGCCTCAGTACACATGGAGGAGGGAGGTCAAAGGAGACAGCCAGTGTCAACTTCTGACCTCCACATACATGGGCATGCGCCGGCACATACAAGTGTGGCCACCTATGAGCATACACATTCACACAGAAATATATTCTGCTTATGTATGACCATCTTGTTGAACCAGATTTCATGAAGGGATTTCAAAGGCATGCCTATAATCTCATGAGCACTCAGGAGAAGTCCTCCTGTCACACGGTGGAGCTCAATTGTGGTCTAAAATACTCCCGGGACTCCAGCACATATCAACACGTGGCTGACGTGGCAGCAGGAAACACCCTGTCCCCTCTCATTGTTGGAAAGGAGGCAGTCGGGTCTTGATATATCCTCACGGAAAGACTTCACACAGTAACGACTCATGAAGGATCTTCTGTGGACTCAGAGAGGTAGTGGGGTAAGGGACAGACCATATGGTACTTGGGGTGAATTAGGCCCCAACAGTGCACAATGGAATTCCTGAGCATGGTTTGTGCATATACGGCTTCTACAAACCAAACATGCTAGTTTACAGGAATAGATACATGTAAGAAGTCCCTGTTTAATAATAAAAACTTACAGAATTTCACAGAAGATCATTTTTAGAATTTAGGCTTCAAGAAATTTGCTATAAATCAAGATTATGAAACCAGGGTCAGGAGGCAAAGAATTTGGCATCAAGAGCTGGAGGGATGGCTTAGTGGTTAAGAGCACAGGCTTCTCTTCCAGAGGCCCAAGTTCTGTTGTTCCCAGCACCCACATGGCGGCCATAACCATCTGTAACTCTAGTAGGAAGGCATTCAAACATCTTCTGGCCTCTGTCGGCATAAGGCATGAATGTGGTGCACAGACCCATATGCAGCCAAACACATATCCATACAAAATAATAAACAAACCAAAACCCAGTTTGGCAGCCACTATGCTAATATCTGAAGCTGAGCTAAAGAAGAGACTTGTCTGCCCACTAGGGCAGACGGGCTAACCTATTTAAGCAGAGTTCCTGAGCTAGGGCAAATTCCTGAGAGCTGGCACGTCATAGCGAATGACAGAACAGCTCCCATTCACAATTGGTTGGTGGTTTGCTTTCATGAGGACAAGCTGTCCCAGGTGTCCTGCATCCTGTGAAGCGCTAGTTCACAAGACAGATTCTGTTTCTGTGGGAAAGAAGTATCCTTACGCTTCCAGTCGAGCAGCTCCACTCCCGGAAGGTGGTAGATGATAGTCAGACGGTAGAGGTTATACTGGGATAAAGGGTTTTGGTACAGAGCTGCAAAGGAAGAATCCAAAATAAGAGGTCAGACTTCACAATGTTTCTTTGTTACCACCTATTAAGACAGAAGATGCAAGGCTTGTGAACAGGACAAGGCTCAGCCTTGAAAGACCTGTTGTCCAGCCCATAGTCTCAGGACGTGGTTCCTTAGAGCCCCGTCCATTTCCCTCTTGGTTGTTTTCATTTGTTCGGAGTTTTCTGATTGCTGCTGCCCATCAGACATAGTGCTAGCTTGGCTCAGATCTGGCACAAAAGAGGAAACTTGGATTGTCCATAGGTACGTTTGACAAAGAAGAACTCGATGCCAGCTCCAGGTAAGTCTCGAGGCTGCTTTCATAAAATGCCACTCGGAATTGTACTGGTCTAGGGAGTACTGGGTGGGGGCTGGGCAGAGATGGGCAGTGACACAGTACACCGGCCAACAGGCTTCTCCCTAAACCTCACTATTGCTGTGCTCTGAGATGCACAGACCAGCAGCACCGGGAGACCTCAGTAAGAGCAGAGCTGCACAGAAGTGGATGCTTCTGTTCGCAGGACTTGTGGGGCTAAGGGATGGGCAATGAACCTGATTCTGCAGCACAGGGGCGGGGAGGGAGCGGTGGTGGGAACAGATCCTGGACATTGGTGGGAAGAAGAGGTGGTGGGAACAGGTCCTGGACAGTGCTGGGGAGGGAGAGGTGGTGGGAACAGGTCCTGGACAGTGTTGGGGAGGAAGAGGTGGTGGGAACAGGTCCTGGACAGTGTTGGGGAGGGAGAGGTGGTGGGAACAGGTCCTGGGAAGTGTTGGGGAGGGAGAGGTGGTGGGAGCAGGTCCTGGACAGTAGTTGGAGGAAGAGTTGGTGGGAACTTGTCCTATACAGTGCTGGGGAGGAAAAGGTGGTGGGAACAGGTCCTGGGCAGTGTTGGGGAGGAAGAGGTGGTGGGAACAGGTCCTGGGCAGTGTTGGGGAGGAAGAGGTGGTGGGAACAGGTCCTGGGCAGTGTTGGGGAGGGGGAGGTGGTGGGAACAGGTGCTGGAGAGAAAGCGGCAGTGGAAACAGCTCAGAAGATCCTGGTGCTTCTGATGTAATCATCCCTAAAGAATCAACATGGTGGGACTTTTAAAAATGCTTCAACTAGAAAATTTGAGTGTTTTATTTTCTGGTGACATATTTCATCTGTTCATCCTTCCATAATATTAAATGAGACTATTTAGACACATTGTGAAATGAAGTTTTTGTGACTTCCACTGTGGCATCTTCAGACTGCTTCTGAAGAACACCTGAAGCAGGGGACCACTAGATGGCAGTAGAGCAAAGAGCTCCCGCTTCCACACAGCCAAGTCCCTTAACAAGACGTGGCTCCCTTACTCGCTTGCCAAACTTAAGAGCACTGCTCTTAGACTATTCATAAGACAAAGAGGACTTTAACAAATGGACGATTGCATCAAACATCAGAGCCCATAAGAGATGATTAACATTTAGGATGTATAGTTTGCAACGTAAAGAAGACCGGAGAGGCACGTTTGAAAAACAACAAACGCACTAAAAATTGAAGATAAACAATACCCGGATGTATTCTCTGCCAATAAAAGACGCTGAGATGTGTGTTGTATCAACACAAGCTTTTCTGGCTAGTCAAATCTTTACACGAGCTCTAAAGGGAGCTGAAGTAAGCCATGGCAGAGACCTGCCACACGATGGATACGCGTTAAATGAACAAGAGAAGAATGGGAAGACCAGTGAGTGGCCAAACAGGCAAGTATTGGGAGGAGTGAGGGAAAAGAGAGGAAAACTGGCTTCAAGTTTGCTCTTAAAGGAATGTAAAGCAGACCTGCGTGAAGCTGATCTGAAGGACAGATGTGGAAAGGCACACAGAGACCACCAACTAGCCTGACTGGGGTCCCAGGCCTCCTCCTTCTCTGCTCCCCAGCGCTGGAATCACAAGCGTGGGCCACCACTGGGCACAGTTTTCATGATTGCTAGGGAAAGGAGGCAAGTCCTCCCGTGCTTGTGAGAGGAGCGCTTGACTGCGCTGCTTCTAACTGCATCTAAATAAAGCCCCAGCCATGAGAGCAAAGCCACTAGACAGAGAAGTCCATGCGCTCCCTGTTCATCCTCTTAAGACAGAAACCGTGGGGCGGAAAGGTGGCAAACCTACCAGTCACCCTAGCCTCTGAGGACATTTCCTGAGAAAAACAAGTCGCACTGAATAATTCGGAAGACATTTCACCGTTATTCTTCACTTTTTTTTTTTAGCTCTTGCATTTTAGAAGGAAGCAATCTTGCTTTTAGTTCCCTTCATCCCCACCTCCCACATCTACACTAGTATGTATTAAATATTCTGGATTTATGCATTTTAGATGACTGGCCCTAAAATTACCATAAATTAAGTTTCTGAGATATGAAATCAGTTTCCTGTGTCTAAGTGTTCTGAAAGCCGTGTGTGATGTATGGGCGGGCACATTCCTGCAGCGGCTATGAAGCGAAATTGCTTACACTTTCGCTTTCAATAGGTTAATACTATTTAATCCACCTTTCCCTCTAGGCTACTTATGAAGCACACCTCAGTGGCGCCAGCACTGTCTTGCTTATCTTAATTTGGAAGACGGAGCCTAAGCAATTTACATTTACCCACTAATATATCAAAATGTCTCCGCCACCTTGCTGCACCAACTTGAGTTAGATGAGTCACACGTGCGGAGATCCTTAATGAAAGACAACAGGAAGACACTGAGTGACAGAGTCATCTAAATAATTGGCTCCCATTGATTTAAAGAAAACAAAAAACCCAACAACTTCTAAAGCAGAACTTAAAAGCCATCATGGAAACAGATCCAAATAGTCTTGTCATTTTGGTTGTGAGCCTTGGCCTTTAACAGCTGAGCCATCTCTCCAGCCCAAAGATCCAAACATTCTTAGAACACTTTAGTAAATAATAATAATAATAATAATAATAATAATAATAATAATATGAACTGGGCTTCTAGCTGGGTGGCTACAGTGCTACTATGATGCCCTGAGTTCAATCCTCAGCACGACACAAAGCGAGGTGTAGTGATATCCACCTGTAATCACAGGGGCAATCACAAGTTCAAGGTCATCCTTGGCTACTTTTGGAGTTAGATATCAACCTAGGCTACACGCGAGACCCTTTTTCCCCCCAAGGGGGAAAAAGCTGATGTAATCAACAGAGAAACAGCATATCTGTTTTAATAGATGAACATGACCATGCTTGGGAATTAAAAACTCATTCAGAACAGCACACCACAGAAGGAAGCTCAGCTTGCTAACCACGATCAGACAGCTAGGTTTTGAGGTCACACAAAGCCGGACCTCCGTCTCTCTTGGTAGCGCTATCTGCTTCTAACCAAATTTGTGAGCTACCACTCCACACACTAAGAAAGGCAACCATCCTTGCTTCAACAGGGAAACTGGGATAGAGCAGAGATGGGAAGGGGGAGAACATAACATCCCCTTCCTCACGGAAGCAGCTGGGGACAGCCTAGGGGTTCTGTTTGCTTCATAGACTGTCTTGTTGGAAAGAGGTTGTCCACCACCCTCGAGGGCATTACAGACAGACTCAGAGGAAGAGGCCTTGAGGTCCAGCATCCTTCATCAACAGCTGAGAAGAGAATGTTGAGGGTAGGACCTGTGCAGACACAGAGCCCCTCCAACAAGATGTGTGTTGTATCTGAAACTCCATTAGGAAGGTCATGCCTATTATGAAATGCAAGTTGCTAAGTGGATTTAGTGTGATGTGTGCTTCCCCTATGTATGCTGTGAATATGTTCTACTACCATTGGATAGTAAAAGAAGCTGTGTTGGCCTACAGCAGGGCAGAATATAGCCAGACTGAAAGAGATAGAGAGAGAGTAGAGAGAGCTGGCAGAGTCAGAGAGACGCCATGTAGCCACCAAAGGAGACAGACACCCTGGGAACCTTACCAGTAAACCACAAACCTCATGGTAACATACAAAATAATAGAAATGTGTTAACTCAAGATGCAAGAGTTAGTTAATAAGAATCCTGAGCTATAGACCCAGCAGTGTTGTAATTAATACAGCTTCTGTGTGGTTATTTAGGGTCTGGGCGACTGGGAATGAACAAGCAGCCTCTGCCTACATTAGCAGAATGTAGAGAATCTGAGAGAGAAAAGCAAAGAGTAGGAACAAGGCAATGGGTTAAGAGCCTTATTGACATTTTGCATTTACTGCTGTGTGCTGGTTAGTTTTATGACAACCTGACACCAGCTAGCACTATCTGAAAGCAGGAAACCTCAATTGAGAAAAATACCTCCATCAGATCAGGATGTAGACAAGCCTGTAGAGCATTTTCTTAATTAGTGATCGATGGGAGAAGTCTCAGACCATTGTGTGTGGGCCATTCCTGGGCTGCTGGTCCTGGGTTCTCTAAGAAGGCAGGCTGAGCAAGCCACATGGAGCAAGCCAGCAAGCAGCACCCCTCCATGGCCTCTGTACCAACTCTGGCCTCCAGGCTCCTGCCCTGTTTGAGTTCCTATCCTGACTTGCTTCAGTGATGGACTGTTATGTGAAGTGTAAGCCAAAGCCTTTCCTTCCCCACTTGCTTTTGGTCACGGTGTTTCATCAAAGAGCAGGCTGACGAAGGGGAGAAGACTCGTTCCTGGTACAGTGGACAGCCCTCCAACCTCTGCAAAAGGGAAGGATGGAACTTCACAGGGAGGGCGTGGAAAGGTAGACCTCCTGCAGAGTGGAGGTGGGGCCCTGCCTGGCCTGGAAGACAGGAATTCCAGGCACCAGACCTCACACTCTGCTTCTGGCTGCAGGCCTCCCTGAAGCTCCCAGCCCTCAGTCTCCTGGGCAATTGTTGGCAATTTTTCTCATAAATGCCAGAGGAGGGTGCAGTGTTGAAATGGGTTGAAACCTTATCCCCAGGCTGTTTTCTCACCCTTGGAAGAACTTATGATTGAAGTAGAAACACTTTACATTTTTACATGGTTTTCTTACTTGAAAAGAGGAAAATTGCAACATTTGAAATGCATAGTTTTCTCGTTTTAATGAGCCGAGTCTATTCTAAGATGGCAACGGGGCTACTGAGAAGCTACTGTGAGGACATCAGCACACAGATGTTAGCTGTGTGCTGAGTGTTCACCATTTCCTCACCGGCTGTCTGCAACCAGAACAGGGCATGGGACCACAAGCTACCGAGCATTTCCAGTCAGTTCAAGGAAATGACCCATGGCAGGTTCCTCAGGCGGGACATGTGACTGTAACCCAAATGATGTCATCAGGGTTTTGTAGAGGTAGTTTTAACTGTCTTGACACGTTGTTTTGCTATCAGACCGGCCTCCAAAGAATGTGGGTATTTCATCCCTAACTCAAGCCTGACATGTGTGCACAGATGTACCCTTGACACCAGGACCTGGGTTCGATTTTAGGTTTATTCAGTTCTGAACCAAGCATCTTGGTTCAATGCACAGCCCTGTTCCCTATGAAGGCCAGGGGTACATACTGTCCTCTGGATGTTGTTTTATAGCACAGCCTTACTTAAGTGATTAATTTTACATGCAGCAAATTGTGCAAATAGCTCCTTCATGAACCTAGTCTACAAGCTATGTAATTGCAAACCCAACAGAAGCCGCAATCAAGTTTTTCTTCAACTTTGGGATCTATTAATAAATGCAGAATCAGATGGTGAATGAATGATTCCCTACACATCAGATAAATAAATTATATACATTGAATGAATGAATCAATAAATGATTAATAAAACAAGGCATGGATGTATTTCTACACTAGTAATTTGGTAAATCTCTGAGCCTTGTATCTTCACCACAGAGGAGGGAATTATTCCAACCTCATCACAGAATTTCTGTGAAATTGAAATAGTATTGTAAGGAAACAGTTTCTTAACAGGAAGGGCATCAGAAATATTACGATGCGATTATTGTTTGAAGCAGAGGTTCTATGGAATCCATTTACTGCTTAGCAGAATTTCTAGACTCTAAGCATCTTCTTTATTTTATTTATATCCTACACATACAATAATTTGGTTTTCTTGTCTCAAAGTAGCATCAACAACAAGAAGTTTTTCTTAAGAATTGCTTTGGAGAATCAGCTCACTGTGTGAAGAGATTCTGGGTGATAGCTAAAAGCCTACTTTATAGAAAAACGATGATAATGAGAGATCTGGGCCTAGCATACACCTTTAATTGTGGAAACATTTGCTTGACACGGAGAGTTAGATAAATAGGCAGACCAGTCCAAGACTCTGATGGAATACCAGAGTTTGGGGAAAATCCTAAGGGCAGGTGATCTCAGCACACCTCTAGAGTAATTCCTGACTCGCCAAGCACTCTTGTGTGTGTGTGTTTTTTTTTTTTTAACTTTTCACTATTCGCATTTTTAAAAGTCTACTTTAGGTCCCCGAGTCATGCCTTTTTCAGCGTAGGAGAGTTTTCTGATAACAGTGAAAGGCTACGGAAACTTTAGTTCCGCTCTGCCTTAATCAGAGCCATCGCGGTCAACACTAGGTTATACAATTCTGAAAGATGAGGAAGAGAACATGCCTGTGTCTTGACAAGCAGAGGCCTCAAAGCCCAAATCTGCAAACCTCATCGGTCACGAGGCTTTCCACCTGTACACCCGGCATCATCTGCCTTGTCTTGTAGCTGTGTGCATGTTTACTAACCCTCCAAGACTATATAGCACATCGAGAGGTGAGCTTCACCGACCGGTTTTGATCTGTTCCTAAATAGATACAGCTTCCACTTCAGCAGTCAGTGTCTGGCTGGGCACCACTCAACAGATGTGAACAAGGCTGTTTCTCAAATACATGAAAGCATCAATGATTTTCTTTTGTTAATTTGCTTTATTCAATAGACCTCATGCCACACATATTTACCTGCTTAATACACACAATTCACGCATAGCCAGTAATGCACCGATCTGAACCACTTGTCGGCACCATCAATCTTAAATCATTTCTCACCCCAGAGAAACACCATACCCCTTCCGTTTCACCCGTCACCCCGAATTCCCTCATCTCTCAGCCCTGAGACACAAACCCCTGTAGCCTCTGCCTGTGCAGATGTGCCCGTTAGAGACAGCTCCTATAATCAGAATGGTGCTGCTGATGTCTGAGATCAAACCGCGGGTAGGCTTGGACACACATTGCTGTCTGCTACTTTGGTCATTTCATCTTTCACGACCCTACCGTTCTACTAATGATTATTTTCTATCTGTTGCTCATGTGTTAAAAGAAGAGCAAAATCTAGTCACGCTCTAGAGAATGGGTTAAGCCGTCCAACGGCAAGCCTGCTTCTCTCGGCTGGCCTTCGGAAAGGAAACCCAGCATTGTGTGCTATCACTGCCTTGACTTAAGGACGTAGAGAACTGCGTACTTAGGGTCTTTAGGTTCTGCATTCCCTTCAGCTCCTTCACCATAGCCTCAGTGTTTGTTAGCTCGTTGTGGTGCAACAGGAGAACATGCAGGGAAGGCAGGTTGTGCAGGCCTAAAAAACAAGAGGTTTTTAGATGAATTTTTTATTGACAAATATAAGAATCTCTTCATAGTAATTAGATGTTATAACTAAGCAAGAGAATACATTACAGCTGATAAAAAAGCGAATGCCTATCAAGGATATCCCGAGTTATGATTAAGCATACAATAACAACACCTGACTGGGATGTGGGCTGTTGCGTCATTTCTTGCTACTGTTGCTGTGTCAGCCATTTTTCTGTGGCAATGATTTTGATGGTTTGAATATCATGTTTGAGTTATACTTGTTCTCTTTGTTTTTGCAATGTGTGTGCCTGTACATGTAAGCCAGCGTTACTTCGAATTATAATGCAAATCAAAGGATAATTTCTCATCCATTCAACGCACTCTTTTCAAACTGCTTAGCTGGGTGTAGAATGGGAAAGCATATATTCATTTCATTTTTGTCCTCCTGAATGGTACGTTCGAAATCATTTGTAACGTAAATGAGAGTGGGAAGAATCTGTGTGATGATCAAAGTGTGCTTCAATTGGAACAGTTTCTTCCTTACCAGTATAGGGGCTTATCATGGGAGGGTTAAAAATGTTTAACATTCTGGTTTCATGATTATTTCATAGCCGGGGCTTGCTCCAGTAACCCACCATGTCTCCTGATCACGGCCTGTCATACACTTTTATACCTGGCTTGAAATTGTACAGGAACTTGACTGATAGAATCCCAGTCAATAAAATATTTTAAGACAATGTATAGTTTTTATATTTATTCTTGCTCCTAAATGTTGCTATACTTTGGTTCCTCAGTAGCTAGTTTGTATCCTACTGTGCAGTAGAATGGTAATGCTATAAACAATACTCCTCTTAAGTTTTGAATAAGACATGTAATTTTGAACTAAAAAGCAGTATAACATACTTTTAAAAATTAAATGTATGTCATTTAAAATAGATATCACATAATTTTAGTAGACATGATAAGAGATTTTTATATGTTGTTAGCAATCATTACAGTTAAAAGTTATTTAGCTAAAAATTATTCAATCAAGAAAGCTTTGAGACATACCTTCTATGTCAAATATTGCATTGTTGTTCAGATACAGTTCTGTCAGACAATAGTTTCTAGTCAAAAATGCTATCCCATGTAGCTGGAAACGAAAAACGATATATATTATGTTTGTAATCATAAGACACCATCAGTGTGGCTTTTAACAACCACAACTACTGTGGCCCTTTTGGACTGGGCTCCAAGTTGTAACTGAACTCCTTTTGGTCATGGCTGTGTGGAAGAAAAGATGGTTTTTAGGCAACTTAACAACAGAGCTTTCTGAGCATGCCTGGGCCAAACTGTCACTGGCCTTCAGAGCTGCTGTCACCTGGCTTAAGGTTCTTTTCCTAATAGTGTCTATCCAGTTGTTCCCTGGATGGTGTCACTGGACGTCCACACACCAAGCCCTCATCTGTTACTATGAGCCGAGGACTCTCTAAGATAAAGCATAGCCACATCTCTATACATGGGGACCATGGTTTCTCTTGGCTTCCACATCCTTTCTTCCTGGTACATTACATTTCTGATCACAGGTCAGAATCAGATCCAGGCCAGCAAAACATACCAAACCATGCCATAGTGCATTGACACAATTCTAGAGATTTTCTGAAATCATTCTCTGATTTTCCTGCATCCCCCAACTATTTTATTTTTTTGCATTCTGGCCATCTTTCCTGTTTCTCTGGACATCTCTCTGGTCCAGAGCTTGTTAGTAATGTTCTAATGCAAAATTTTTCTCTTGCACTGCTCTAGGGCACATCTCTTTTGCTGTTCCGATATCCTTTGCACCCACAGAAGCAAAGGCCTACATAAAGAACGCAGCTCTGCTAAGGAGGATTGGTGTTAACAGCTCTGCAAGCCACAGCCACAGCTAGAGCACCGGGCACAGAGTGGCCCTCCTCCTTCCCTTCCTTTGTTGTTGGTTGTTTCCTCCTAGGCTTTATTTCTGTGCACATGAGTGCATGTGTGGAGGAGGGAGGTGTGCAGAAGCTGCTTCTCTCCTTCCAGTGTGGGTCCTGGGTATTGAGCTCAGGTCATCAGGCTTGGTGACAGGCGCCTTTACCCTCTGAGCCACCTCGCTGGCCCCACCTCTATAATATCATTTGAATATGCTGAGACACAGTAGAGCACAGGACAGGGGAAGATACATTCTAAGAGTGGCAGATAATTAAATTGAAGAGCGTTTGCTTTACTGCTCCACGTGGGACTATCTCAGGAGTCTGGGCAGCTGGGAAATGAACAAGCAGCCTCTCACCAACAGTACTTTTGCAAGCCGCTGGGGAAAAGGAAGACCACTACCAATGGAAAACGAAGCAAGCACATTCTAGAACAGTGGTTCTAGAGCCAGGGTGCTACATCTTTGCTACTGCCGGCCATTCAGAGCAGATAATTCTTGGCTTGTTCTTGCATGGGGCCACCTGGACACAGAAGTACACACGGTAGCATTCCTAGCCATAACTAGTAGGTGCCAATAGCTCACACTTAGCAATGTGACAATAAAACCTCTCTAAAACAACGTCAAAGATCTCAAGTGGGGAAATAGACAGCTTAGAGTTGAGGGCTGATGACTTAGGGGCGCAGAGATGAAAGAAATAGGACATGGGGCCGGAGAGACAGGTCCATAGTAGTTAAGAGCACTAAGTGCTCCTGCAGAGGATCTGGGTTTGGTTCCCAGCACCTACGCAGTGGCTCACGACTGCTTGTAAATCCTGTTCCATAGGATCTGATGCCCTCTTCAGATATTTGTAAGTTGATGCACGCATGTGGTGTATACACACACACACGCAGGCACAGACGTACACATGAAATAAAACATCTTTCAAAAGAGGACACTCATTGTTTATTACAGGTGAGGCATTAAGCTACATGTTTTTACAGATATTTCCTAGTGTGATTTATGTTATTTATTTTTTTCTACCATCTACCCAGGAGGAAACTAAAGCTCAGAAAAATTGAACAACTTTGTGAAGGTACAGAGTGTAATTAGCAAAGTCAAGATTCAAATCTTAACTTGACTGTTGCCAAATGCTGGCAAGTGTCAAGCTCTTTAACTCGGGGGTACTACTGTATAAATGACCTATGAGTCATTCATGTGAAAATTAGGCTCAATCATGAGACATATTCTATAAATTAACTTAGTTCTTACATTTTAGCCATCATCTCCCCAAATGTCTAAATGTGTATGCATGTTTAACAATGTAGGGTCTGGCTTCAAGCACGATGTGTGATTGTAAAACAAGACCACAAGACTCTTGACCTGTCAAGTAATCTCAAAATCATACACACAATCAAGACTCTAAGTAGATCAGATTGGGAGGGATGGACCTCAATATGATATGTCTTTGATGAACTCACAACAGCTCCAGATGTGAAAAGCTCAAAGCTCGTTGGCAAGAATAAATGACCCCATGCTCTTACCCCTTCCTACACACATAAAAGCCCTAGACTAAAAGGGCTTCTTCCAAGAAGAGGCAGGAATGAAGTCATCGTTAGATGCTGATGACAAGATCGTAAATGTAGACCACCCCTAGCAAAACATTGCTAAAATGGTCTAGTATGGACATGTGCACAGGTGTCATATTGAAAACCAGCATTATGTATAGTTAAAACATACTGATAAAGCATTTATAATGCCTATTACAACTGATCAATGGATTTAATAAAGTTATAGGACACAAAATAAGCACACGCACTTAGTTGTGCTTCTAGATGCTAAGAAGGCAGGGGATGTGGTTCAGCAGTAGAATATTTGCCTGGCAACCTCCAGCACTACGGGAAAATGGGATGAAAACCAACATCTAGGTAACAATACGAAGCTATTGTTAATTCCCAGAGGGAGATTAAGAAAATAATAGTACCCTTAGTAGTTATAACAATGAAAATATTTATAAGTTAGTTTAATCAAAGAGGCAAAATAACCTTTTTACTGGAAACTGTAGAAAACACAAATAAGTAGAAAGGCATCCCTTGTCCGTGACTTAGAATTAACCATGCCACCCAGAGCACTGCAATTTCTATCAATTTCCCAATGACACTTTTTAAAAAGAGAGAAAAATAGCCTTAAATTCACATGTACCCACAAAAGGCCCCAAATAACCAAAATTCCTTGAACAAACACAATAAAGCTGGGTCCATTCTACTCCCTGATTTTAAAACAGCACAGCAGGCAACTGCCACCAACATAAAAAGAGAAACTCGAAACAATAAAGGCACCCCAGAAACAAGGACACATATTTATATCAATTGATATTTTAAAATTAATTTTTATTTTATGTGTATGGATTTCTGCCTGCGTGTATGCCTGTACACCACCTGCATACAGTGCCCTAGAGTCCAAAAGACCATCAGATCCCCTAGACCTGAAGTTATAGATGGCTGTGAGCCACCATTGTGGGTGTTGCAAATCTGACTCTGGCCCTCTGGAAGAGAAGCCTCTGCTCCTAACTGCTGAGCCCTCTCCCCAGCTTCCCAGATGATTATTGAGATGGTACCAGAAACATACACAGACAAAAGTTTTGTATGCGCAAATGTTTTTGGAAAAACTGATTGCTCACATGTGGAAGAATGAGACTGGATCCCTCATCTCAAACTGTATGCAAAATATTATCTCATAATAAACTAAAGACTTAGAAGACCTGAAGTTATAAGAGAAAGACTACAAGAAAACACAGAAAAAGCCACATACATTGAGTGATCCGGCAATGAATTTTTGGTATAATCCTCTAAGCACAAATAATAGGCTGAGAAATAGATAACCAAAGAAATAAGAACTTGAAGAAACAGCCCACAGAGTGAAAGAAAAAAGATTAATAGGTAAAACATATTAGAAACCAGAAAAGGAAAATGAAACAAAGAAAAACTACAGCAGGTAAACAACTGGATTGAAAACGGGTAAAGGGGAGCGGTTCTGGGGTGCCGGGGCCAGTGGAGCTCTGCAAGGGTCACCATGCTCTTGGCTCTCGCTCTTCCGTGATTCAGAACGTCCAGGATGGGGTGTGGCTGTGGTGGGCGCCAAGAACGAGAACGGCTATTGGCTTAGCATAACTACTTGACTATGGAAGAGGAGCGTTTCCTTGCCAGCGATAGGCAGGACCCAGCTGTTTGAGGCCATCAAGGTGGCCACCACGCCTAGTGCCTCCTTAACCCACCTCTGCATAGACAGATTCACTGCAGACCAGCTCCGCCGTCTCAGCTGTCTCTTGAGAAATCAGCCTAACCCAGAGCTATCACCTTTCAAGTTTATAGATAGCAGATTAATCTGTTCTTGCCTGATTCTGGAGCTGAAAAAAAGATGCAATTTACCTAACAGCGTGCACAGCTGGGCCAGAGTCTCGTTAATACAAACACATGCAGCACGTGTTTGATGAAGAAAAATGAGCAAAGGACCTGGCCAGACATTTATGAAAAATGGATCATAAGCATGGCTAACAGGTACATATGAAAAATTTCTCTCATAGCCGAGCCACCACCAGTGGCATTGCCTTTAATCCCAGCACTCGGGAGGCAGAGGCAGGGGGATCTCTGTGAGATGAAGGCCAGCCTGGACTACAAGAGCTGGTAGCAGGACAGGCTCCAAAGCTGTCTTGAAAAACAAAAACAACAATACACACACACAAAACAAAAAAAAAAAAACAACAACAACAAAAAAAACCCTCTCATGATTAAACTATATTTAAAATATAGTTTTAAATTAAATTAAACTAAATTAAAATATATTATTAACAACAGCACAGCAACTCCACCATCATTACCATGCTTGAAGATATTAGAGGGGATTTTTACCTTTGAAACAAAAAAAAATCATAAAATGGTATCTCTATAAGACTAAGATGCCCGGAGGATTAAGGCACTTGCTGCCAAGCCTGACACAGTGGAAGGAGAGACCCAACTCTTGCAAGGTATCCTCTGACCTCCACATGTACCATGGTACAGGTGTGCCATCTCTACCCCCAAATAACTAAATCAAAATGCAACAAAATAAATTTTAATTACCTCACACCTCTTTAGGACAAATCTATATAAAATATGACAAATGGTGTCAAGGACATGGAAGAGCTGGATCTGTGCTACACCGTGTTGGGACTGTCGGAAGTGTAATGG